ACAAGGTCTTCTTTTTTGCAAGACATYCAAAGTGTTTAGTTTTCCAAGAGACACTTCCCAACAGAGGGCTTGGACCAAACCTCCTTGCTATGAAAAATTTGAGGATTAGGAATTGAGCACAAGAAAAGGAACCCAAGGAATCAAGCATCCAAATGCGATCATCTGGTGTGGAAGGGTCCAAACAAACAGGGTCAAGAGTTTTAAGGAGCAAGCCAACCTAGTAACGTTCAAAATCTCTTAAATCTCTCCTAAAACCCAAATTCTAGTTAAGACCTAACAAATTGGAAAAGGACGACCCTCTAGATTGGCTCATTTTTAAAACACAAAAGGGAATAAAGAGAAGGAAAAAGGTCCTTGAGGGTAGACTTACCAACCCAAACATCCTCCCGAAGTAAAACCCTATCTCTAGTACAAGCATCATATCTGATCAGGTTCAAAAAAAAAAGGAGAATACTATGAATAGCCTTCCGAGGAGAGTTTAGAGTAGCTTGCCGAGATACACCAGCATCCCAACCATTACCTGCAGCACCATGAACACTTTTTACAACTTCATGCCAAAGTCTTTCCCTTTCTAGAGGCCACCTCCACAGCCATTTGCCCAACAAAGCTGTATTCTTCTTCCTTGAATTACCTAAACCCAAACCCCCTACTCTTTCCTCCTACACACTAGTTCCCACCTAACCACATGATCCTTCCTTCCTTCCCCAAGCTCCCACAAGAAATCCCTCATAATTTTCTCTACCTTCAAGACCTACCTTCCTGGCATTCTAAAGATCAAGAGAAAGTATATTGGAAGATTTGCTAGAGAAGCCTTTATTAAAGTAATAGTGCAATACAACCCCCAAGAGAGATGTAGTTTCTCTTCCAAACTGCCAACTTCTTTGTGCATTTTTCTACAATTGTGTTCCAAAATCTTCCTTCCCTTGGATTATCTCCTAATTACATTCCCAAGTATTTCAAAGGCCAGTTAGAGGTAGGGCAATCTAAGGACTATCTCACTCAGCTCCTCATGCTCCAAATTTAACCCCACCACTCAACTCTTTTCAAAATTAATCTTCAACCTCGAAACACATTCAAACAGCTTTATCACTCGTTTCAAATTTCTTGCCTTCTATAGATCTCCAGCCTCATAGAAAATGATCATGTCATCCATAAACTACAAATGTGTTACCACAGTACCCTCTCTATCTACCCTCCAACCTCTAATCATATCCAAACTATCAGCTCTCAAGATAAGCCTACTAAACACATCAGCTATCAAAGTGAAAAGGAAGGGAGAAAGGGGACCCCCTTGTCTCAAACCTCTAGAAGATGGAAAGAAATCCCTAAGCACTCCATTAACTAAATCAAATAATGGCAAGTTTTCAAGCAACCTTCAATCCAACCACACCACCTCTCTCCAAAACCATAACTTCTCAATGAATCCAACAAGAAGGGCCAATCAACCACATCCAATCATAAGCTTTCTCCAGATCCATTTTACACACTACATTTCTCTCGCTTTCTCTTTTAAGTCCTCCACACATTGATTTGCTATTAGAATTTAATCTATAATCTGTCTTACTTGAATGAAGGCCCCTTGCAATTGGTTTATTAAATTGGGTAGGGCTAGTTTTAACCTTAAAGACAACACTTTGGCCATAATCTTATAAATTCTTGTCACTAGGCTAAGGGTACTTTTGTTTTTTTATCATAAGTTAAGATGTGCTTTGTCTGTTTGGTACTGTGTTAAGTTACATGTCCCATACTTAAGTAGGGACACATTAGATATTGTATCTTGTATTGACAATATATATATGGTCGACTGAGAGAGTCTTTTTGACTTCTCACTTTCTCAATTGACAGTTCTCTCCTTCTGTTCTTCTCTTCTTCTTCTTCTCTCTTTCTCCTTTCTCTCTCTGAACCTGGTTCAACTAAGCTATCAACACATGATACCAGAGCAATAAACAGGAGGGAAGAAGACTACAGCTTCAAGTTCTTGGTATTGCGATCGGTCCTTCTTCTCCCCTTCTTTCGTTTTATTTTTTTTTTTAGGCTGCGCAACCTGGATTAATGGTGAGAGAAGGTTGTGGCAATCTATAGAGGGCTGCAGTAACCTATTCTGGTGCTCCCAGGATTACTGTGGTCTGGGCTACATGTGAGAGAGGAGTGCGGCAGCCCTAGTTGGTGGTTTCTGGACTGCTGTCACCATGTGTGACAGCCCTAGTGATCGTGTGGTTATGTCTATGGTGGTTTGAACTCTCTACTCAGCAGTTTCAAGAGGGGTTTCTTATCAGATGGTGGCTTGTGGTGTTATTAGAAGTCATGACCAGTTTTTTATGTTGACAGAAGTGGCCGAATGTGTGTTTAAGTAGTATCGTATGTATTGAGTCGTGGTAGTTGGATGAGGAGGTGTTGTAAGGTGGTGAGTGAACTGTTGTAGTATTCAAATAACAACATAGTTTTGTCTGGACTGATAAATTTCTTTCTGGAAGGGCAGAACCAGTTTCTTGAATTGAAATCTTGATGGAGTCAATAGGAGATGTCAGTGGTGACCAGAAATCGAGTGTTATGATTTCCCCAAATTTTTTAAATGTGTAAATGGCATCCATTAAACTCAACGGTAAAAACTATGTGCAATGGGCTAAGTCAGTGGAAGTGTTTCTTAAGGCTAAGAAGAAAGTAAAACATGTGAGGGAGGAGAAACCTACAACTGAATCTTCGAGTTTTAGCGATTGAGAGAAGGAAGATGCTCAAATCATGTCGTGGTTGTGGAATAGTATGGAACCCAAAATCAGTGTCAACTTTATGTTCTTAGATACAACAAAGGAAATATGGGAACATGCTAAGAAACTCTATTCCAGCCAAGACAATACTACGAGAGTCTATCAGCTTTATCAGGAGTATTTCAGTTTGCAATAGGGAAATCAAACCCTTGAAGAGTATTATGCCAGTATGAGAAATCTTCAAAACGAACTTAATGTCTATAATCCCTTAACTCCAAATGTCAAAATTCAGCAACAACAAAGGAAGCAACTTGATGTTACCCGGTTCTTAGTGGGCTATACAAATGCAGATTGGGCAGGTTCAATGTCTGGCAGGAGATCCACTACAAGTTATTGCACCTTTCTTAGAGGAAATCTAGTGACGTGGAAGAGCAAGAAGAAAGCTATTGTGGCAAGGTGTAGTTTGAAGTAGAATACAGGGCCATGGCACACACTACATGTGAACTAGTGTGGTTGAAAAATCTTTTGCAAGAAGTCAAGTTCTCAATAAGCAAACCTATGAAACTATACTGTTACAACCAAGCTTCAATTCACATCTCATCCAATTCAGTTTTTCATGAGATGACTAAACACATAGAGGTAGATTGCCATTTTGTTAAGGGAAAAAATCCTTACTGAAATCACAAGTACAGAGCATGTGAAAACAAGTAATCAGTGGGCAGACTTGTTTACAAAAGGGTTGAGTTTAGGAAGAGTGAATTATATATGTAACAAGCTAGGACTATATGACATATACTCTCTAGCTTGAGGGGGAGTTTTAGAGTCGGCTAAGGAAGGGTACTTCTGTCTTTTTATCATAAGTTAAGATGTGCTTTGTCTGTTTGGTACTGTGTTAAGTTACATGTCCCATACTTAAGTAGGGGCATATTAGACATTGTATCTTGTATTGAAATATATATGTGGTCGACTAGGAGAGTCATTKTGACTTCTTAGATCGACAATTCTTTCCTTTTCTTCTCTTCTTCTCTTCTCCTCTTCTTCTTCTTCCTCTCTCTTTCTCTTTTCTCTCTCTGAACCTAGTTCGACTAAGCTACCAACACAGGTATAAAATCTCTTAGATGGACCGCATCTTCCTTTTTAGATGACTAGAAAAGTGGAGTTGAACCCTGGACTAATGAAATGTTCCTCCGCGGACTCCTCAAAGATTGCCCACAAATCAAATTTGATAATGTCCCAACAATCTTGATAGAAAGCCATAGTGAAACCATCTGGTCTTGGTGCTTTAGATTTGTCCATTGAAAATACAACCCCCCTTATTTCTTCCAAATCAAAATTCCTTTCCAGCATGTTTGTCAAATCAAGGTCCAATCTTGGCCACTCTAAACCCTACATCCCCCTACTGTTTGTAGACTACCCTGAATTGACTCATAAAAACATTAGCAATGTCATCTTGATTATCCACAATTTCACCATTGACCTCTAACGTCTCCACAAAGTTCTTTCTCCTCCTTTCATTAGCAAGTGTGTGGAAGAACTTAGTATTGCCATCCCCATCTCTAATCCATTGATGTCTTGATTTCTACCTCCAACAAATCTCTTCCCTAAGAACTACTTCTTCCAGCTCCTTTTATCTTTCCTTTGGGGAAGCAAACCATCTGCCTTCAATTATTATGCATGTTTAACGGTTTATAAAACTAGGCAACTAACCAAGACTTGGTTTTTATTTTATAAATCTTTTACTGCTTAGACAATTCCTAGATGCCCTACTATTGCCCAGAATCGCCTAAACACCTTGACAACAATGGTAGCTTGTTAGGTACAAAGCTTCTAGTTTTGTCTGAGTTTTAGATCGGCATTGGTTTTCTGACTTTTTTATCAGCAATAAAGATGAAATTTTATTAAGTTAAAACAAAATTATACATTTGTACAATAATGAGGGCAAAAACAAGCTCCCACAGAATTTTACAATTTTGCCCAAAACAAATGATTTCTAATCACCCCTTGCTTAGGTAGATTGTTAGTCCAGTTGTTAGCCATTCTTGGAACCCATTGAGCTTTCACAGGTTTTTGTGACTTTTTTCATGTCTAGATTTTGAGTTTTAGGTTTTGTTTTGTGGTTGGAGGAGTTTTTTAGGGTGCTGGGGTGCAAAGCTCATTTACCTTGGTGCATAACTTCACTACAAGCATAGAAACTAGAAATCAAGACAACAACAGAAACATTTTTCACATAGATCAAAGTGGAGAAAAGAGAACCTGGAAATATATAAAATAGAAAGAAAGAAATATAGTTCTTACCAAGATTTATGTTCTGTAAATCATGAATTATATCATTAGCTCCAACTTCCATCCTGAAAGAAACATAGGGTTATGGAGGGAGACCATGTACTAGTGATTGATCTGACTCCCAAATGTTACTGATACTGAGGTGAAAGAAGCCCTCGTTCAACAAAAAGTATCATAAGTCTATCTGCCTCTTTTGAGTTTCCCTCCGAAATCAGTCTCTCACCTTCTTGCATAACTTTAAATCATGAATTATATCATTAGCTCCAACTTCCATCCTGAAAGAAACATAGGGTTATGGAGGGAGACCATGTACTAGTGATTGATCTGACTCCCAAATGTTACTGATACTGAGGTGAAAGAAGCCCTCGTTCAACAAAAAGTATCATAAGTCTATCTGCCTCTTTTGAGTTTCCCTCCGAAATCAGTCTCTCTCTCACCTTCTTGCATAACTTCAAATCAGGAATCAAATTTCTATTAAACATTCGACAAGCCACTTTATATGACAAGAGAGGAGTTCCTTTTTCCAAATAACTCTCCATAAGCATGTGACATGTACCAGCATCAATTCTTGAAGCTGTTCTCAGAACTTTGCCCAATAGCTTATAAGCCTCATCTAGGTTCCCAAAAGTACAAAGCTTCTCAATAACTTGATTATATGCTGTCCTGAACTCCTGCCTTGAAAGCATCTTTTCTAACAACTTCAATAAATCTTCCACCCTACCCTTTTGGCAGTAACGATGGATAACTGTTCGGTATGTAACAGGTGAAGGAACCAAGCCTCTATTAAGCATTTTCTTAGTAAGCTCAGTTGCCTCTTCTAGTCTACCTTTCTTTCCCAATGAATCAATCACTGTCGTATATGTGACCACATCAGGGTGTTTATTAATAAGATACATGTCATCAAGCAAGGAGAGAGCAGCTTCCAAGTTATCTTCTTGACAAAATCCATGAATTACAGTCGTAAAGTTTACAACATTAACAGCGCATCCCTTGCTCAGACACTCCTCCAGGAATTTCTTGGCCTCACCTGCCTTCCCCTCTCTGCAGAAAGATTGGATCAATAAATTAATTTCAATAGAGGTTGGGAAAAATCCCTTTTCAATCATCTCTCTGACCAAATCATAGGCCTCAACCAACTTCCCTTCCCTACGAAGCCCATGCATTACAACACTGTAAGTGATGGCATTTGGGGTCCACCATTCCTCCTCACTCATGTTCATCATCTGTCTTGCCTCGAATGAATTCCCAGAACGACAAAGTCCATTTAACAATGTAGTGTGCGATACAGTGTTTGGTTTGCAACCATGTTTGTACATTTGATCAAGCATCTTCTTGGCTTGATCCACCTTACCTATTCGACAGAACCCATTGATGATGGCAGTGTAAGTCACCACATCAGGGATGCAACCTTTTAAGAACATTTCGTTCACAATCTCTTTTGCCCTGTCCATCCTACCTTCTTGACAGAATGAGTGGACAACTGCACTATACCCCACCTTATCCACCCGAAATCCTTCCTGCTCAGCCTCCCGTAAGAAAATAAGGGCATCATCTCCATGACCATGCTTTGAAAGCATATGGATCAGAGTGTTATATGTAACCTGGTCCGGTAACAAACTCCCATCCTTCGTCATCTTCTCCAACAAGGCCTTTACTTCTTTAGTCCTTTTCTCTTTGCAAAAGTAACACATAACAGTGTAGTAACTAATCTTGTCCGGGGAGCATCCCTTGTGAGGCATTTCATCAATCAACTCCAGGGCATCTTCAACACGATGGACATCACAAAATCCCTTGATCAAGCAGTTATATGTGACAACATTAGGTGTGATTCCAACACGTTGCATCCGATCCAGGAACCTCAATGCTTTCTCCAATYGATTTGCCATCACAAGAACATGAATTGCAGTATTACAGATAGATGAATCAGGCTCACATCCTGCTTTCTGCATTAGATTCAATACCCGCATTGCGCTCCTCAACTTGCCTGCCCGACTGTATGACACCATCACATACCCAAAAGCTTCAGGCCGGCGCTCAATCCCCCTTCGAGCCATAAGCCGTAGAATCCTTTTTGCACCCTGGCACAGCTTGGTCTTGCTGAGTACCTCAAGCATTGCATAGTATACCTCTGTATCATGGCGGTACCTCCATTGTCGGTCTGCCCAATAGAAGAAATTCAGAGCAACCCGCTCATCAGCCTGAGAGCGAAGAACCGCACAAACATGCCGGGGTTTGAGGCTTCTTAATAGGTGCCTCAGGTCCCCCTCCAACTTCGGATTCCATGCTGATCGACGGTCAATTAATCTACAAATCTCTCTAACCAAAGGGTGTCTAAATACATCCTCTTCCACTTCTTCCACTCTCTTAGTACCTTCTTTTGGCTGCTTATTCCTATCAAACAAATCTAAAACCCTAAAATCATCCTCATCATCACCCTCTCCTTCATCATCCCATTCTTCATCATCATCAGAAACATCCAAATTTTTATACCCTCCACCACTTATCTCTTCACCATCTTCCCTCGGTTCAGTTTCATCAAAATCATTTCTTTCCACCAAATGAGCACACAAAGTAGGGTTTGGTTCGGCATTACAATCAGGGTTTCCAGATAAAATTGGTGAGCGGAGCATGCTACATTTGTTATTTTCCGGCTCAAAGACATGATCTTTGGATTTGTTAGTAAGCTCTTCCTCTGTAAACTCTCTACCATGAATATATCTACGGTATTGCGTAAAAACCCTAGAAGTCTGAGATCTCGCTAGGGCTTTATGGACTCTAATGTAGCAACTGAAACCGCGAACCATCTCCAACATGAAAATAAAAATCTATTTGAAATTTTATTCCGCTAAGGAACTTTTTTCTATCTCTACGTGATAAATAGAACTCAAAACTGAAATTTTATTTTATGCATAAAATCTCAAAATCAACCCACCGTTCAGGTATCCATTCATGTCCACGGGGAAGCCATGAAAGAGTGGAGGACTTACATTACATAATTACTACTAATTCATATTATTTTACTAGCTTAAAAATATTACTTAATTACTGCTAATTGGTAAAATTATTGAATTTATTGTTGTTATAATGCTATAAGATTTGAATCCGAATTGGAATAAGCTGAAATGGGATTTTAATTCTGCTCAATTAAATATTTGCAATTGGAATTCTGATTCCAACTCTAGACCCCTATTGTCACAAATCAAATGGGCTCTTCACAGGTGTTAAAACAAATAGTGGCAAGAGTTTTATCACAATATCAATTGGGCCAAGTTGTACCAAGTCTAACCCAAATAATTTTGGGTTATTTGTTATTAGATAAGTTTCTGTTAATTTTTATTATTTATCTTAATTTTTATGATTTTTATCACATTTTATTAATTCCATTACCCTTAAATGTGATGCATGGGCTTTGTCAAGTGACATTTAGACAGATGTCTTAGGCATCTTTAATTGAGCAAATCTGAGCCCTATCCAACTTAGCATCATTATTGGGTTGTGTATTGTTTCATAAACCAAAAAAACGAAAATCTAGAAGAGATTAAGGAGAGGGAGTTACTTTTCTATTAAGTTAAACTTAAATTTTGTTGTTTTAATTAAAATATGTTTTTATTAATTTGTATGAATTTTAACTAATAAATAGTTTTTGCTAAGTCTATTAACAATTTTTATTGTTTTTCATTATGTCATTTTATTAATATTTTAAATTTTATTTTTATAATTTTTGTAAAATTAATTATACTAACTTTACAATAAGTTTAGGAAACTAAGTTATTTAACAAGTTAATCGTGTAAAGTAAGTTATTGATTTTTAATTTTCCCTTATTTTTCTTTTTCAATTACTTTATGTCTTTTAATATATTAAGATTTTCTCTTATTTTAACATATATTTAAAAATTAAATTTCATTTTTTTCAAACAATTTCCCTTATTTTATCATTTTTTGTCTATTAACAAAATTATAAATATTTTTTGATATCTTCCCTTTTCTTTTTTTTCTATTATTTTCTATTCAACAAAATTAATATTTAGTGAAAAATTCTCTTATTTGCTCTTCTTGTTTTAAAAATTGCATAATTGGATCGAACCAATCAATCCAGCTCAATATGAACCAACAATTAAAGCTAATAAGTGGACAGTTTTCAAATGTTCAAATTACTTGACCCTACTCTTTTTTTTGTTTTTTTAGAATTGCATAATTAGGTCAAACTGATCATATTCAACCCTACTCATCTTTTTTAATCAGGTCGAACTGATCAAACCAAATTGGTCCAATTTGGTTGCTTTGATAATTGAAGCTAATAGGTTGGATGATTTTCAAGTATTCAAATAACCTATCCATGAACTTTTATCTCCTTGATATATAGCAATTTTTAGGCCCCTCGTTCATTTTTTTTCCTACTTTCTACTCCTCCTAGGAAATTGACAAAGTTAGGGAAACAACAATTCATGCTCATAGAAATTAAGTTCTTCTACTTTCTACTTTCAAAAATTAAGTTTGTTGCAATTGAGCTATATAAGATAAAGGAGACGATTCATGTTTATAGAAAATGTTATTAATAATGATTTTTTTACATAATTTATTAGCAACAAAAATTTTCTAAAAATATAACAAAAAATATTTTATTGAAAATTAAATTAATATTTTAACAAAAAATGTCAATTAATAGTGTTTCTAATATTTTATTTAAAGATATACTTCTAAAAATTTATAGAACATATTTGATAGACCAAACTGGATCAATCAAGATTTGTTTGAGTCAATAAGTAAATAAATCAGGGTGATCACATTTTGGGTTATGTAATGACGCAATCCATTAGAGTCACCTTCTTGACCCATTTTCTTGTTATAATGTTTGATCAATGAACACAATATCGTTTCAACATCAAAACAAATAGTGATGTGTTGGCCCCAAATGACCCATGGAGAGAAAAAAAATTATAATTAAAATATTAAGATACTATTTATAATTGTAATAAGATTTTAATTAATTATTAAATTTTATTGCTTTGCTTTTATTATTTGAGTTGTTGTATTATTTATTTTTTTCTTATTTTAGCTATTTTTACCCGTATTATTTCAATATTTAAGTTTTAATTTAAACATTAATATTTTAATACATTGATGAAAAATTAAATGGATGTATATGGAAAGTGGAGAAGATAAAGAGAGAAATATATAGAGAAGGAGAGATAGGAGGAAAGAAAATTAAAAGAGACGTTGGAATTAGATGGTCTATTGAGCATGTGAGATAGATGATTAGAAGGAAGTTTTAAGGGTGGGGGAGATAGTTAGGGAGAAATTTTAGGAAGGGAGATGGTTTAGATGATTAGGAGAAATTTTAGGAATGGAGATGGTTTAGATGATTAGGATCAGGAGAGAGAGAGGGAAAGAGAGAGAGACAGAGAGAGAGAGAAGGGATGTGAATAATCTTGCTTTATAAATACACTAGTTGGACCCCGTGTGATGCACGGGAAAATTAAGGGATTAAAAATTTTTGTAAAATTCATACCAACAAAAAAACTAATACAAGAGACAATAGTTTACATAAGTCAACAATGACATATTAAGTTTGAAATTAATTAGATTAGTTAAGTTAATGTGGTAATTTAATTAGATCTATTAATTAGGTTAATTATGTAATTAATTATAAAAGGAAATAAGGGTTCATACGTGCTTGAAATAAGGGATACTCCTCAAACGCTTATGCACTCAAATGCCCATGTTTATTCAATGGGGACACACGTCAAATGATAGAGTGGGGACTAGTTGTTAGTTTGTTCTAACTACAATCACCACTTTCCTCTACGATATTACTACGTGTTGTGTGCAAAATGTTTTTGAAAATCTTGCACGCTTGTACAACATTGTCTTTTATCCACATTTCTCCATGTTATGTCTCTATGAGGCTACCCAACATGGTGGCAAATGGGTGGGATGGATTGGGTTGGGTGGTTGTTAGACAATTATGCCCTTAGCTCCAATCAGATTGATATATCTTTTGACATTTATTATAAATGAATAAAAGTACATAATTGATTCATGTCATTGTGGTGTATTTCTGTATTACATCCTTAAACTAGATACTTATGAAACTCATATTAGTTTAGAATCTTTACAGTCGTTGGATAGATCTAGGAGATTTATCCTGTCAAAACTGACACTAATGTGCCACCAAGTTTGTTGGGTGGCTTGTCTCAGCTTCCAAGGTGAGACCTGAGGTACATGCAGTGTGGGTTTCTTGTAAYCCTAAACCGGACCAAATTCCACTATTGCCCTGGACTTTGGAAACAGATGGGCAAAATTGGAATGTTACACCTGACCCCTAAACTCGATTATGGTACTGCACTAGGTGTCGGATTGGGCTGTATTTGATATGCTAATCAGTGAGATCCTTAGAGGGGGTCAAAACCTAGGTATGTTGGGACAGTTTGAGAATTCACCTAAGTTGGGTAATACCTGATGGGCTAATCTTGCATCTGCCCACAGTCTTTGGGTTTTCATAAGGTGGCTGGATCCAATGACCATTTAGTGTAAATGTTGGGCCCATTAAGAGCCCATGGTGATGGACTCAGGGGTTCATTGTCTCCGACAGTGAATTCAGCCAGACCTTGTAACAAAGGTTGGGTTGAACCGCTGATGTGTAGATCAATGTTTGGGTCCCATGCCATACAAAGAGAGCCAACTGGGTAGCATGTTAAGGGGTAAATGAGCACATAATCTCAATGGGCCTAAAGCCTAATTCAAACTGGGCTTAAATTAGTTAACTAAAAGGAGACAATATCTGATTTATAATCTGATTAGGATTAGTTGAATGTATAAGATAAGTCTTATCCATTCAAGAGTCCAAATCCAAATATCAGATTTGGATCAAGAAACTCTCTCCTAATTAGATTAGGAAGCTGATCCAAAGAAGACTATAAATAGGGGCAAATTCCTCAGTTTTAATACACAAAAACCTGCAAAATTCTCTCATATTCTTGTCATCCCTACCCAGTTTGGTTTGACCTAAATCAGATCTAAGGGGTTTTCGTTCCTTCCATTAAATATAAGTGCATGTGATAGGGAATTTCATGTGGTGAATTCCCTAAAGGCCTTCCATGATTAGTATGAAGGTTTGATGTATTGGTGGGTGGAGATGCACCATAAAATTGGGTTATCCATTTACTAACGCAGTTGGATGGATTGCTTCATGAGATGATAAGGGCGTCATAGACCGATGTGGGATGGGCTTATCGTAAAATGGAAAACTCTCTCACGGTACCTTGGCATTCACGAACATGATGGGTGAACACTTACTGGACATAAAGATTTAACCTAAAATGGCCATGAACCTTGTCTGACAAAGGCCAAAGGAAAACTCATAAGATGAGTGGATGAGATCCTTCATAAGATGGTGGGGTTTAGTAGCTGAAATAGTTGGCTCCATGCACCCCATGTGGTTTTTCACATTTCCAGAGACATAATTGTCTCTGTTACTGAGATTGGAGGGAATCTCAGAGATGCCCAAAATGGAAATGGAACATAGATTAAAATCCCTTTTTATGTGATGACATGAATCAATTTGGTTGTGGACTTATAAATCTGCTTTGCCTTTACCAAAAATGGCAAATGGAAACTTCACCAAATTGTTGGATGATAACAAACTCAAGGGCCTTAATTATGTTGACTGGTTCCAAAACCTTATGCTGGTTCTAACGTCTGAGAAATTGGACAAAATTTCTAAGAACCCTTCTCCGGATCGTCCGGGTGACAGGGCTTTTGAGGCCCAAAGAAGAGAGTATCAAGAATGGGAAGAAAAAAATTCTCTTGCACAATGTTATATTATAGCCTCTTTAGACAATCCGATATAGCGACAATTCGATAAGATCGAAGTGTCCAAGGATATATTGGATAGTATGAAGACTATGTATGAAGAGCAGAACCGTTCTACTCAACAAAAGGTCTTAAAATTG